GTCCATTGTAGATATATTGATATTGAATAAGAAAAGATTTTTTCTCTCTAAGATTATTGGAATAATAATAAAGAGCACAAATACATAACTAATTAAATTTATAATAAAATCAATGTCAACAACACAATGAATACTTTACTATTAAAAGTAGAGCAATCAGTAATAGCCAATTAAATACAAAGAGTAAATTAAATTAAAAAATAATAAAATTAGACTAGTCTAAGTTGAAACACGTAGAACATTATCCTTAGAGAGAAAACGTTTTCACTACACTGGTAATTTGAATTTATAGTGTGCTCCTCTCCCGAGATACATCAACCAGTTAGACTGTTCAAGTGCAACAAAAGATCTCCGAATCAAAGAATACAACTCTAAAAGTTTTAATAATAATAAATTTTAAGGAAGATAGTGAATTGTATTTTACTTTCACTTATGCACCAATATATATATATATATATATATATATGAAAACGGGAAAAGAAAGATGAGTATTGTGCGTAAAACTAGCTGAGGTACAACTAAAGAAATTGTTTTAAATGATAAGATATGAGCCGATCAAAATGGTTAAATGAAATGACTTATAAAACTAAATATTACATGGTCAAAGGTAATCATTCCTACATATGACAAAAGTTAGTATAAATTAAATTTTAAATTATAAAATAATTTCTCAACAAATGACACTGAATACTATCAAATGTAGAGGGAATGTATTTTTCAAAAACTAAAATCTAAAGTAAAAAATCACTATTTTTTATTTTAAAAATGATAAAAACCATTTTAGCTCCATTTTATCCAAATTAGTATACATTTTGTTTTAAAAATTTCATTTAAACCCAAAAAATAAAAAATAAAAAAGCATGAATAATTTTTTTTTATCTTATTATATTAGAACCTTAAGAACTAGACTTAAGCTTTAAACTATGAAAGTAGATGTAATCCTCCGAGAGTTAACTAAATTAACATAGAACATAATGTATTTAATTGAATATAGTTACCAAAAGAGTAAGAGTCAATTTAATTAGATACACCTTTGAATCTTGAGAGGGAAAGAAGGATACCTTAGATTAATTCACTTTCAAAGACAACAGATAAATACAAAAGGCTTCCAAACATTCATTCTCATTTGTTTAATTTAACTAAATAATAATAATTAGAAAGGTCAAACAATCCCTCTGGATTCGATAATTTATTACATGACGTAATAATAAACTTGCAGTTTTCTCACATCAATAGGCATCGAGTGTGACACCCTCTGTTGAGATTGGGGGAGATTGAAATTGTTGAGATCACCTCTGGAGATTACAGGTTTTGATGATAAAAAATGTGTGGAGCAAAGCTGACCAAGGACATCAACAACTTAGAAGTCAAAAACAAAGTCAAAGGAAAATGTTATGTAATAGGAGCAGCTTATAGATTGCTTTGATTGGGTTTATTTGTTGTGAGTGCTTTGTGCATGAGCTAATCTGTATCTAATATGATTAGGGGTGTGTATGATGATAAGTTTAAAAGATTAAAAAGTTATTTTGAGACTTAAAATAGAGTTTTGAAAACTAACTCAAAATAATCGATTATCATTAAATATAATCAATTATTCCAACAACAGGTAAAAAAGATACCTTGCTGCAATAATCGATTATTTGTAAAATAATCGATTATCCCAGAAATGACTCTCTGGAATAATCGATTATCCAATAAAATAATCGATTAAATTGTTCTTGGTTGATTTCCAGAAATCATGAAGAACAAAATAATCGATTATCTGGTTCTGAAAAACTTATAAATAGTTTGACCATTTTGAAACTTCAGAACAGAGTTAGAATTGAAGTCAAAATTAGAAAAACTTGTTTGTGAAGTCTTTCTGACAATCTTGGGGAGTTTTCTTTGTGAAACCAAGAAGAAAAACATTTTTGAAATGCATTAAGAAAAGATCATCATCATCATCACATTCTTGAAAGGAAAAAGATTAAGATTTGCTTCTGAATTCCAGGTGAATTCGTTCCTTAATTCTTTGTGAATATTTGTAAAATCTTGAGTAGGTTTCTCAAGTGGTAAGGAATTCTTGTAGTGGGTTTCTACAAGGGGTGCTTTCTTGAGGTCAAGAAAGTGGTTATCTTGAATGTAGGAGTGTATGCATGTGTGGTATGCTTGTAAAACTTATTCATTAAGATAGTGGAACAAATCTTGATCAGGTTATGATTGAGGACTGGATGTAGGTCACATGTGGAGTGGCTGAACCAGGATAAAAGACTTGTGCAATCTTCTGTTACCCTTATCTTTTACTTTGTGTAGTATCTTGGTTGTATATTGAAAAGATTGTTCTTGATTAACATGTTTGCATGAGCAACATTGGTTTGAACTGAATCAAAGTATTACATATTGTTCTTAACCTTGAATCTTATAATTGGTTAATCAAGAAAGCATATACGATTCATTCTTCATTAACAAGTCTTTAAGAAACTTCTTTGAAAATTCATTTTAGAAAAGTTTGAATTGAAATAAAGATCCTAAAAACTCTGAAAATTTTTAAAGTGTCATAAAATCCAATTCACCCCCTATCTTGGATTGAGCCATTCTTTTCTAACACCCTCTACCCCAGCATACATATACAATAATTATAAAACATATTCTCGAGCTAATAAAGATCTTTTAAATTAAAAGAATGATTCCACTAACATAAGAATAACGAATTCACATTCATAAATGTAAATCATGGTCAAATACAAAATTTACAAGAAAATGAAACATGAGTTTTTCCAAAACTAAATAACAATAAGGAAATCCTAACTAAGCCTAACTATGCCGCGATGTCACATATCCTATCAGAGCACGCCCAACTGAAGCCTAAGCCTCATCACCAACATCCTCATGTTGATGATCACCTGCAACACAATAAAATACACATACGGATTAAACAACAGAGTGAGAAACATCTCACTCGGGTTTAGGTGTAAAAATAACAGTCAAGCAGCACACACACAAGTCCTGACAAGCACATCCATAGCTACACATTAATCAGGTGTAATTTTAAATTATACACACAATCGTAACACATACAAAGTCATTCATCATGCAATGATGTCATGAACTCGACTCATAAATGCATGCATGTGGCACTAGTCACGTGTCTCATAATCACATATCACGTGGTATGCTGCTGAAGCAACATACCTAGAGTAGTCTAGGAGTACATGTTGGCTCTACCGTGCACTCTTAACTAGAAGGATGTACTGTTAGGGTCTCGTCGGGATAACGAAGCCGCGCAAGATACATCTCAAGCACACAAACGGGCAGAATTGGGCCTTCCAAACTGCACTATCCCCTAGGACTCATTCAAGATGTTTCACACTTGGAGGGCCTTCCTTAATGATGTACTCCATATTGTACCTCGTCACATAAATGCATATGATGGTTTTAAAACGGGCCGTTCTGGAAGTGGAATTTTACACATAACGAATAAGTTCAAAATGGGCCGTTTCGTCCACTCCTTATGCTTATAAATACCACGCTATGGCACTCCCAAAAACACACTTTTCACTTTTGACTTCTTTTCTTCTACACTCTCTAAAGACCAAGGGGAACCCAAAGGAGGAGACCAACCAGATCATGCTTAGTTTTAGCTACTGCTTAACAAGGTACGAGGGAAAAGGGGAGATTTATGTGTAGAGTCACAGGAGGGAATGGGTGGAAAAGAGTTCCTGTGGAATTTTTTTAATAATTTTATAACTGTTTCTGTTTGGAAAATTATTGGTATTATGAGATTCTGTATGTTTTTAGGATTATGAATATATGAAAAATTGTTGAAAATGATGATCTGGGAGAGAGAACGAAATTGTAGAAACTGCCTATGAGTTAGGTTTTGGAAAAATTGGGGGTTTTACTAATTGAGTTAAAATTCTATTAAATTGGTGATTCAATTGAGTATTATATTAATTTATAAATGTTATTGTTATATTATATGGTAAAAATTGATGATCTATATGTGAATTCATGCTACAGGGATGGCATGACCTTGGCATAGTGTGGGATGTATGAGGCAATTAACATGTATCACTTATGTCAAGATGGCATGACCTTGGGCAAGAGATGTTGTAGGCGTGACCTTGGCATAGTGTTAATTATAAGATTTGTGTTAATTATGAATAAAATGTGATTGTGGTTCCTCACACATATGACTAGGGATGGCACGACCCTTGGGTAAGTGATGCTACAGTGATGGTGTGACCTTGGCATAGTGTGGGATGTATGAGGCAATTAACATGTATCACTTATGTCAAGATGGCATGACCTTGGGCAAGAGATGTTATAGGCGTGACCTTGGCATAGTGTTAATTGCAAGATTTGTGATGGATTGGTGTAATTGTGAATTATGATGTGAAGATGATGCATGATTGATAAAATTATGATATATAGTTATGATGAAATTATGTTATGGATTTTCCTTGTGTGTGCTTTAGATATAGATGTTTTCTTTTTCTCACCGTACAATTTGTGGATTTTTAGGTGAGGAAGATCTGATTTTGAGTAGCATCCAGAATGCCAACAATTGAGTTGTGGGTGTGCTCTGATAGTGTGACATCGGGGCGGAAGATTTCTAGGACATAGATTTCTATATGTAGTTGGAATTATACTAATTATTTTTAAAACAATTTGAAAACTCTTATGTTTCATTTTCTAAATTTTTATTATCTTGGATATTGAAGAACATTTATGAAGATTCTCATGTGAACCCTTTTACCAATGTTGAAATATTTATTTCCTTAGTTTAATTACATTATTACGATATATGTGTTGGGGTAGTAAGGGTGTCACATTTAGTGGTATCAAAGCAAGTCGATCCAATTGGTCATCAGTTATGAGTCTACTATACTTGTTTGGTAGAGGAATGATGGAATGAATTGATTGTGGAACTTGTTGATATGCTTGTGTTATGATTGATTAAGTTTGTTGTTTATTTAATTATAGTATAATTGTTAACTTTTCTGTGGATGAAAAGAGTAATGGCAGGAGGTAGGAATGATCGTGCAATCGTTGATGCTTTGCAAGCAATGGCTCAAGCTCTTGGTACTTTGAACCAACAACCAGAGGTAGATTGGCTGGAGAGATTCTAGCAAAAGAATATGCCAAGCTTCTGTGGGGGTTATAATCCTGATGAAGTTGTTGACTAGATTTTTGAGGTTGAAAAGATATTCCAAGCTTTGGGATGTCCTTTGGTGCAGAAGGTGACTTTGGCTGCCTTCATGCTTTTTGGAGAGGCTGAGGTCTGGTGGCAAGGTGCTTTGTAAAGAATGATGGCTGCAGGTACCCAAGTGAACTAGGAGAACTTCAAGCAGCTATTCTTGGAGAAATAGTTTCCACGAGATGTGAGATATAGGAAACAGGTGAAATTCCTTGAGTTGAAGCAAGGAGAGAATTTTATGGCTGAGTATGTGACTAAGTTTGAAAACCTGGTTAGATTCTGTCCCATGTATGATGGTGTGGGTAATGAAGATGACAAGTGTGTGAAGTTTGTGAGTGGTCTTCGCCCTGAGATCAAACAAGTTTTCAATTACCAAGGGATCACTCAATATCATGAACTGGTAAACAAGTGTCGAGTCTATGATAAGGATAATCATTCTAGAGTAACTCATTATAAGAGTGGAGGACCCATGAAGAATCATAATAAGTTTGGGTTATCTAGTAAGGTAAACCTTACACCAAGTCTGTCAGGGATTCGAGTTCTAAAGTGAATAACCAGGGTTTTGTGCAACAAAGGAGCCAAGCTCCAATGGCTTGCCAAACTTCTAGAGGGGGGAGTGTGGGTTTTGTTCCATGCAACAACTGCTTCAACTATGGGAAGCCAAGTCATAGGGCAGTTGAGTGTCGGATGCCAAGAGTAATAACATGTTTCAACTGTCAAGAGAAGGGACACAAAGCTAATGAACACCCCAAGAACAGGAAAGGAACAACAGAGGTTGGAGGAAGCGCTAGCAAACCTAGGGCGACAAGAAGGGTGTTTGCCTTAAGTGGTGTTAAAGCTACTCAATCTGAAGACATAATCCAGGGTATGTGTTTCATTAATGGAACTCCTCTAATTGTTTTGTATGACTCTGGTGCGACTCACTCTTCCATATCACATGCGTGCATGTCCAAGTTAAAATTACCTGTTTCTTCCTTGTCTTTTGAATTAATAGTAGAGACACCAACTAGTGGTTCAGTTTCTACTTTTGATGTCTGTATAAAGTGTCCTGTGAGTATTGATGGTAGAAATTTCATGGTTGACTTAATTTGTTTGCCTCTAAGTCAGCTAGATGTTATTCTAGGTATAGACTAGTTATCTTCCAATCATGTCCTTTTAAATTGTGCTGATACATCTGTTATTTTTGGTGAGCCTGTTGAAAAGGTGAGTAAGAACTATTTGACTGCTAACCAAGTTAAGGTATCTTTGCAAGTGGATGCCCAAGTGAACATGTTATAGCTTCTTTGAATTTTGAGAGTAATGTTTTGGTGAATGAACTACCTGTTGTGTGTCACTTTTCAGATGTCTTCTCTGATGATATGTCTAGCTTACCACCTACAAGAGAAGTAGAGTTTTCCATAGACTTAGTACTAGGAATAAGACCTATTTCTATTGCACCTTATAGGATGTCACCCATAGAGTTGGTGGAACTTAAGAAACAAATAGAAGACTTGTTGGAGAAGGGGTTTGTGAGGCCTAGTGTATCACCTTGGGGAGCACCCGTACTCTTAGTTAAGAAGAAGGATGGTAGCATGAGATTGTGTGTAGATTATCGCCTATTGAATAAGGTAACCATTGAGAATAAGTATCCATTGCCTAGGATAGATGATCTTATGGACCAATTTGTGGGTGCTTGTGTATTTAGTAAAATTGAACTTAGATTGGGGTACCATCAGATTAGAGTTAAGGGTGAGGATGTACTCAAGACAACATTTAGGACTCGATATGGACATTATGAGTATCTAGTAATTCCTTTTGGTGTGACGAATGCTCCAGCAATTTTTATGGATTACATGAACTGAATTTTTCATCCGTACTTGGATAAATTTGTAGTTGTCTTCATGGATGACATACTAGTTTATTCCAAGACTAGAGAGGAGCATAAGGAACACTTAAAGGTAGTACTGAAAACCCTCAGGGAGAGACAACTTTATGTCAAGTTGTCTAAGTGTGATTTTTGGCTAGATGAGGTGAGTCTCTTAGGACATGTGATTTCTAGTGGGGGTATAGTAGTAGATCCATCTAAAGTTGAGGTGGTACTTAAGTGGGAGGCACCCAAGTCAGTTAGTGAAGTTAAGAGCTTCCTTGTATTGGTTGGGTATTATAGAAGATTTATAGAGGGATTCTCTAAGTTAGCATTACCCTTGACAAGTTTAACCAGGAAGAGAGTTGTGTTTGTGTGGGATAGTCACAACAAGAAAAATGCTGATTTCCGACAGAAATTTCTGACGGAAACAGCTAAATTTTTGACGGATTTTTCTTTTTCCGACGGATTTCTGACGGATTTCAATCCGTCGGGAAAAGTGGCGTCGGAAAAAAAATCCGTCAGAAATTTTCGATAGAAAAATCTGTCAGAAATTTCTGATGGAAATTTCTGACGGAATTTTCCGTCGGAAATTATAATTTTTTTAATTTTAATAAATTTATTAATGTAACAACCCTCATATTTAGTCTCTCAAGGATTCTATTTCATAATATTTCACTGTTTAGCGTGTTTTATCCTTACTTGTGCAATTTCTGGGGAACTTCCTAGGAGGTCACTCATCCCTGTACTACTCCAGGTCAAGCATGCTTAACTCTGAAGTTCTGATGAGTAAGCTATCGAAATGTCTATGTGTGTTGTCAGTATAACTTGTACAAATTAATTCATTTAAGTCATCCTCAAATATACAATTTCATATTTGTACTATAATAATAATATATAATAATTTTATATTACAAATAATAATAATAATAATATGTTTAATTATTCTTTATTGATATGTACTTACTTTTATAATTAACATCTACTTATTTCTATTTAAAATTATAATTTTAATTATTTAATTTTATAATTTATAGTGATAATATAATTTATAAAATTATAAATATTTATTTATTTCATACTTATTGTTCTTACAGGAATTTGTCGTAGGGACGATCTTCCGAGTAAGATCGGTGAGCCTCCTTTGCTGGTACGCTGGTGCTCCATGATGGGGGTGGTACCTGCAAAAGAGACTCTGATGCCAAAGTTAGGGTTTGTATGAGTATTAGTCTCGTATAAGTAATGCACGTACCTTAGTGTGATTTAGGGCTGTCTTGGGCCTTAGGCCTGAGATAAGATATAATGTGATTAGATAAGGGGTCTCGTCTGGGGCGAGATCCTCGGGAATCAGTTGTTATTCACTCAAATGCCGAGCTGACGTCGTGTGACGCGTGCCCGAGGTCGTCTTGCGCTGAGATGCCGAGCTCGAAGCTCGGCTTCGCGGTACGGTCAGTACACTAGCCCCCCGAGCTCTGAAGACCGTAGGTCGAGGAGTTAAAGCCGAGCTCTCCAGGGGGAAGTGACCTTTCGCATATGTCTGCCTGTCAAGATGCCACGTGCCATAACTGTTCATTTCCCGGAAACGTGCAAGTGGTGCGTCAAAGGAAATGACGGTTATGCAATGATGGTTTTGCAATTAATTGTGTTGTCAAGCGTGCCCTTAGGTTGACACGTGGCACAACCATTTTGAATTTGGGGGAAACCTTTTTTCTCCCTCGCGCCTCTTCCTCTTTTCACTTTATCCTTTTCTCGCTTTTGGCTTCTCGAGTACGATAGCTCTTCTTTCCTTCTTGTCTCCGTTCAATTTTCGTCTCCGTTTTCACCGTTCCTCTTTAAGTTTTCTTGCTTCTCTTGATGGCTGGTGGACGTGGCATCGGTTCTTCTACGCCTGCCAGGGGCAGGGCGCGCGGCAAGGCGGTGGTTACCGGGGGGGCGCCGCTGAGAGGAAGGACCCGCCCCCGCCCA